GACAAATAGCTGAAACTCAGTGAGTATCATGAATATCACAAGAATCTGAGTGAGACCAATACATGGTTAAGACATAGATGCTGGATTGTGAACTTGCATCATTGAGAGTGAAGCTTGTGATGGTTAAGGTTAATGATGCCTAATGTTGTGAGGCAGCTGTTCTCAACTTCCTACAACTCCCATCCAGACCTTAAAACTTCAGCTTGAAGTTCTTTGTGCCTGGTGTCTGTTGCAGGTTCTCCAGAGGTAATCAAAATGATCTTGTGCTTGTGTATAAGCATATAAAAGTTATAGCAGCAGTCTGCTTTGGATCAGGGGCTTAAAATTTGGCGGTAGTATTTCTCTGGGATTAGAGAGTTTGGACTACTTGAATATGCTTCTATGGTTGGCTAAGTTAGCAGTCTCTGCAGAATTACAAAATCATGTGTGATTGTTTTGAAAACTAACTTCTCAAGATGTTCTGTTGGCATGAAGTATCCAACAAGTCATTTTTGGGGGACTATGTAGGTAGGTCCTGAAAGGGACTTTTATCCCACCTGATTTCTGGCATTTAACTGAATCTGGGGAGGTTCATATTGTCTGGAGTTTAATAGGCTGCTGCCCTTTTAGTGACCTGAAGAAGGATCTCCAACTACCTCATGCCTTAAGGAGGACTTTTTTTCCTGATTGTTTTTTATCTTTTTACTTTTTCTTTTTTCTTAAGCAGACTGTTGTAAACTGTTGAACTCGCAAAACAAAGTATATTTAGCAAATCTTTACTGACTTGCTGGGAAAGTAGAGGTTGTGTACTTTGCAATTTTTTTCTGGTGTAACTGAGGGTTTCCTGAATTTTTTAGTACTTACCATTGCATATATAGAAAAATATGTGGATCATGTTGATGGACTTAGACAATAGCAGCAATAAATTAAGTCCCATTCTCAATATCTCTCTTACTGAAGAGTTTGAATACTACGGGGTGGTTAGTTCTCAAAGAGTTAAGTGGAAAACTTTTAATTCCTTGTGAGTTAATTTAGTGGTTCTTTTGGAGATCTGTGTTGGGACCATGTAGGGTGGACTGTGGGTGTGACTTCTTTACTGGAAGGTGACTTTACTGCAGAGATGACTTCCTGAAGATGAGATTTTAGATCATTATGATGTGTTTTATCAACAGAAGCATAAATATATGATGCCTGGGAAGCCTCAGCTTCTCCATTACACAGATACTACACAATACTAGTCAGACTAGAGTATTTTTTGTTTCTTCTTCTGCTCCTGTTTTCCAGCTGAGCAATTCACTGGTTTATAACAAGGAAGGATTTTGTGGGGCTTCTAGCACCTGTATGGTTTGCATTATTTGATACATAAAAGGATTTCTTAATTATTGTTGTAATTTGTACTGGGAAGGTTTATCTGCCAACTTGGAAAAAGAGAAACGATTTAAAACAGAAGACAGATCTGGAGTCTGACAGGCTGTTTCCTGCTCTCTCAGGAGAGTATGAAATTGGCAAAAGGCTCCCACTCCTCCATGTCTTGCTAGCTTTCTGCAAAAGGGAAGTAATGCTTATCTGAAAGAAGAGATCTGGAGCTAAGTATCTTTTCCAAATAAACGTCCTTGAATTTATTTCATTTAACCGAACAACAAATTGAACCTCCAGAGCAAACCAAAAAGCAAAGCTTTCTGCCTGGATAAGGAACCTGATTGGTGCCAAGTGCTGTAGGCTAGTGAGATCCTGTTGATTTTAGCAGGGCAGCTTGACTTTGTCTGATACTTTGGAAAAGAAATTGAAGACAGAAGGACAGAGTTTACACTTGCTGGAGGGTCCCAGTCTTCTCTATATGGATGTGCTCTGCAGCAAGTGGTCACAGTGAACTGTGGTGTTAGTAACGGCCGAAGTAACGGTTGTGACAGGCATTTTATTGAGGCTTTTTTTTTAATTAGCATTTTATTTGTGTTGTCTTTCATAAATCCTATGTTTCTTTCCCTTGTTTACTTCAATCTGTTCATCTTATAACCATATTCTCTTCTACTTTCCTTCTAAAAATCCTTTTCCCTTTTTCACCTCAGTGTTCTCTTTCTTCCTTTTGACTTTCTTTCCCACCCATAATTTTTTGTTACTCCCCATATGTATAACCAAGATGTTGTAATCACAATATAATCAAAAGAGTAAGGCAAAAGCAAACAAGGATCACAAAAGAGAATAAGTAGAAGAGCTTACCCTTGGGTTGAGCTCACTAGAAGATACCAAAAGAGGGGATCTCCAGAAGAGATCCTTCCCCTCTGGTAGCCAGCTCTTAAATAGGTCCAGGAGGGGTGGAGCCTGGCTCCACCCCTTCCGGCAGCACAGGTGAATTGCCTTCAGCTGTGCTCCTCTGACTGACTCGTGGCTCACCTCAGGTGATTAATCAGAGGTTCAGGCCGTGACTCAGCAGTTCCCATACACCATAACACCCCTTCCATCCTTCCTCCTTCCCTCCATTTCCATAATGAGCCATTTCACTTTCCTTCTTTCTATTCCCGTATTTTCCTTTTCCTTCTCTTGAACTCTTGCTTCACATCTTGAACTCCTGCGTTCATTGATTCCTCCTGTATTTTTTTCCCCAGTTTCTCTTCCTTCTCTTTGTATTACTTCCCACTCAAACTGTATCTTTCCAAACAGTATTCTGTCACGTTTCGAGGACAGGTGATGGACAGAGGACGTATGCCTGCTGCCAGGGATGTGGCTATGAATACACTGGACACAGAAGTGGTCCTCATGTGCCCTGCAGTGTTGGTGCCTGCTTCGTAGGGAAGGCATGTCCTCCTTCAGGCAGGTCTCAGCGCTGAAGCCAATTGCAGTAGAAACTGAACAACTACATGTACTGAAACTACATCCTCAGCACTTACTGAGAAGTTATATTGTGATATTTTTGAGAAGATTTCTGAGATTCCTCATGCTCCCCTTTCCTCAGCAAATCGCTACTAGGATGATGATATGTAAGAAGACGAGAAGTACAATGAAGCTGTGCTTCGTTCCTCTTCTACTCTAGTCTTCCACCCCACACACTGGGTGGTTCTTGCTGCGGCCTCATGAATCTTGTATGTGATTCTGGTGTGCATATTTTTGTAAAAAAAAAAACCCGTGGCTACAGTCATTTATATAACGTGTTTGCTTTGCCATCACGTGTAACGCCTGTTTTTCTTCAGTCTTCACACCTACTGTTTGAAAAGTAGCCGAGTCTTTTGTGGTAGTGTGCAGCACAGCAGACTATTACTACTTGTGAGTTTGAGCTGTGTGCAGCGTAGCATTTACCCTTTTTCTAAAATTCTGGTCTGTTTCCTACATGTATTACTGAAAACCATTACGGGCATTTCTGAATTTGAATGAGTGGCTCTAGAGAGAATATTTCCTCTTTTGCATTTACCCAGCTAAATCATCAGCCTGACAAACTATCAGCTCAGCAGGCTCTTTGGAAAGGCCCTCCCTCTCTTTCCCCCCTTCTTTCCTTTTAATCATTTCCAAGTATTTTCTCACCTCTTTGTACATTTCCAACTTCACCCCACTCTTCACTGATGCTGTGGGACAACGCTGGTAGAATGTTTAATTAAATAAATGTTCAATTCTTATACTGTATTGTGCCACGGTTGAGTAGAGTTATTATAAAATATGCTCACTCTAAATGTATTAAATTAAATTGTACTAATTCTCAGACTTGATAGGGATCTTCTGGACGCGTTATTGCATGTTTGATTTGACACTGAATTTTTGAACAATTAGCATTTCATTGCCTGTATTCTTTCTAGTAGTGGCAAATTTTGTTATAGGTATTAATCACAGCAAAATCCTTTTTGATAGTGTTACTAAGTTATAGAAGAGCCTTTGGATGCAAAGGCTTGGAAGTCAGAACTGCGAACTGTTCCTGAAACAGTGTGTGAGTAATTCTTACTCGCATTGCTAACCCTCCTGGCTTTGATTAAATCAAATGAATCTAAGCACAGAATGGTAATTATTTTGGCATGGGAAAGCTGACAGTGTTTTCAGAGCTATTTTTATTGCTACATTTTAAAATATCACTTATTCCAATCTTCCCCCTTTCTTTATTCATCTTGCATAAAAATAATCCATCAACTGTTTCTGGCTGTTATCTGCAAAGTGAAGTTTGTGTGTTCCTTTGAAGCTGAACAGAAGGAAACATCATGACCGTGATTTCACTGTCTGCATATAATATAGTCATTTATTAAAAACTGTTTATAACGTCCAACCCTTTGATTTTCAAACCTGTTTATCTAGAAAATATCCTAGGTATTTTACGGTCCTAAAATAGCTTGAGTTCTGTATTTAAAGCTCTTAGGCTTTGGTGTTGAACCATGTATTTGTATAGGTACATGAAAGCCAATTTAATAAAAGAAAAAATCAGATAAGGGCTGCTTTGTATTAGAAAGAGCTAATCAGATGATCTTTTGTGAAGCCTTTTTGAAACAACCTTTGGCTTACCAGGGAGCCATTCTATTTTCTGGAAATGTGAACTTCTTTTCCTGTAATTCTGTGAAGGCGGTTCTTTGGGATTTCTCTTTTCCTGGAGAAAAAAAGAGAGAGAAATGAGAAATCTAAACAGAATGCTACCATCTTTATTTCTAAGGAAGAGCAAATAAAAAGTAGCAGTTTCCAATGAAATAAAACAATCTAAAGGGCCAAATGATAAATTAATGGAAACTGGTTCTTGTATATTGTTTTGGAGACTAAGCACATTAGATTGAATTGTTTCACAACCAGCACGCCTAATTATTGTGTCTGCCACATTCATCTATTTAAATCATTCCCAACTTTTGGATCGCTGCCTAGAATATTATTGCAATACGTGTTTCAGCTGGCTGTTCCCTTGTCATGCACTACTTCATGAAGGAGGCTGATTTCGTTTGGAAAAAGAAATAGAAGCAAGTATTGGTAGGATATTTAGAGTACCTGATAAGAAGCAATGATAGGTTTCATAAAGTTGATGTGAACGAGCTGAATGTGAACTGATATTATATTTGTTTTGTCAGGTCAGTGATTTAAAAAGTGCCTTTGTGAAGTCACTTTTATGAGAGAGGACTGCTACGCCTGTGTTTTCAAAATACTGTCTTTGCCAGCTAGACGTTGCCTTGACCTTACCTGTGGTGGAAGATACCTCAACTGTCTTGATTTGCCAATTAATTGATGGGAAACTGAACTCACCGTAAAAGCAGGAAGAAGGAATTATTATTACTGGGACATGAACAAATGAATGCATTGCTTTTCTTGTGTAATCAGTACCAGCAAGCAACCTGCGGCGAACTAATATTCCATCCAAGAGTGCCATTGCAGTGAAGGACGTGTGCTTGTAACCGGTGCATCAGTGATACAATCAGCAGACCCACACATTTTACAGACAGAAATGCTCCTGAGCATGATCTTCTTCAGCCAAAAGTCTACAAGTGGGACTTAATGATTGATGAATGACTGCTCGCCGATAAACTTTCTCAGTTTATTCAGTGTTGTGTGACTTGGACATCATTAATTGTCCACTTTTAAAAAAACAAAAAACTTTCAATTGGAATTATTTTTTTCCTGGTGTTTTGTTTTGTTGTTTATTTTTCCTTCGTCAGTAACTTTGGAAATTTCTTTGGCGTAATTCGCTTGACGGGGAAGTTCTACACAAATTCTGCATCAGCCTTTCAACATGGCTTTGAATGTTGCTCCTGTACGAGATACAAAATGGCTAACGTTAGAAGTGTGCAGACAGTTTCAGAGGGGAACTTGTTCACGCTCTGATGAAGAATGCAAATTTGCACATCCCCCTAAAAGTTGCCAGGTTGAAAATGGAAGAGTTATTGCCTGCTTTGATTCCTTAAAGGTAAGGAAGAAAATTGCATGTGCAATGTAGTTGCTGATATATTGTATTGTAAGCAAAAATTGAAATTGAATTACAGCTAATCAGAAGGTAATTTTGTGGCTTGTTCTTGGTAAGATGTATGTTAATACAAGTGTTACTTGTCTTAACTTTTGTTTATTGAAGCTCTGAAAAGCTTTCTTTCTAAGGTTTTTTCTTTTCCAGTGTCAATATGTTGTTTACTGAAATGTCATATGACTGTGGGATACAGGATTGCTTTCAGCTGGTGTGACAACTGTAGTTACATTTTATAAATTACCATTGTTCCACTGCAAATGAAAATACATGATGGCAGACTACTGGGCCATTGTCAGAGTGCTAGTGAGTCAAATGTTATTTAAAAAAAGTACATTTTCATTTAAACCAATAAAAGTAAGAAAAGTCTATCCACTGCTCCAATTTTGACACGGCAGATTGTTTACCCTAGTATTGTAGACTCCAAGATAAATGAATAGCGTTGCTCTTTATGTACATATTGTTAGTATAGATAGCCATCTAAGTTTAGAACAGAGTGAAGGGATGCAGAGTGCCTGCATTAGAAATAGTGTGGCCAGCAGGAGCAGGGAGGTGATCATCCCCCTGTACTCAGCACTGGTGAGGCCGCACCTCGAGTACTGCGTTCAGTTTTGGGCCCCTCACTACAGGAAAGATGTTGAGGCCCTGGAACGTGTCCAGAGACGGGCAAGGAAACTGGTGAGGGGTCTGGAGCACAAGTCTTATGAGGAGAGGCTGAGGGAGCTGGGATTGTTCAGTGTGGAGAAGAGGAGGCTCAGGGGAGACCTCACTGCACTCTACAACTTCCTGAAGGGCGGTTGTGGTGGAGAGGGGTTTGGCAACGAGCAGGACACGGGGTAATGGCCACAAGTTGTATCAGAGGAGGTTTAGGTTGGACATAAGGAAGAACTTTTTGTCTCAGAGGGTGGTCAGGCACTGCAATGGCTGCCCAGGGAGGTGGTGGAGTCGCCGTCCCTGGCAGTGTTCAAGAGGTGCCTGGATGAGGAGCTGCGAGATGTGGTTTAGTGCTTGTGGTAGCAATGGTGATGGGAGGATGGTTGGACTAGATGATCCTGTAGGTTCTTTCCAACCATGTGTTTCCATTATTCTATGATTTTCTCCTGTGGAGGAAATCTAGTACTTATACTGGTGGACCACGAGGTCTGTGTGACCTCCTAATGACATCACGCACGCTTCAGAAAGCTATTTTAAAAATTTTGCAAAAATATTTTGCTCTGCTGAAAAGACTGAATAAACCCATGGGATTTGAGGAGTACACGATGTTTTCTGTGAAGATGTGCTTGTATTCTCATGTAAACAGAAGAACAAAAAACATTTTTGTGTGTATAAATGATGATCAGGAAAAGTTACCCATTTGAAATTCTATTTTGAAAACTGGGGCAATTTGTCTTTCGGGCAATATGGGGGGAATATATTTTGGGGAATATATTGGTCTGCTTTTTAAATTCAGCTCTGTAAATCGGAATTTCAGTTACTTACTGAGAGCTCTTGCTATGGCAGTATCAGCGTGAATGAGAAGAAAGTTCCACGTTATTTGAAAACATTTGTTTAATTCCATTACACTTTTGAAAATTTTTAATTACAATACAAAATGCTCTACTACTCATCTCTTTTTCTGTGTGTGCTGATTTTTTTTTCCTCTTCTTTTGAAGACTCAGAAGAAGGTAACTTGGTGGAAGTGTTTGTGAGGGGTTTATGTTCTGTCTGTCCTGTAAACCAGAACAGCACCTTTGGAGTCATCACATCGAATGCTATTAATGACCTTAATCCCTGGATTACTGCACGATAAACTGCAGCAACGTCTTTGTAGATGTTCTAGTACGTTGGTCACTTGCCAGTGGGGTGATTTCTTCTTCTTAATGGATGGGCCAGCAAAAGGACAATAAGTAGCTTTCATAGAAAATAAGCAAGTCGGTGGAATTGTTTCAAATGCAACGTTTTACCCGTTGTAGAAGCTCAGGAAACAGTTCATAAGCTGCCAAAGAAGTTTAATTTAAAACTAAGGCTTTATTTGAGTGTTTGTTTGTTTATAGAACTGTAAGATTTTAAATTGGTCAGACCATAGCTTAATTCTTCATTTCTAACATCAAACCTGACTTTGTGTTTTATCCCTATAACCTTGGAAGCAGGGGATTAGTGTGAGAGGAGAATCATTCTTACACTCTTATGATTCCCTGACCAAATGAGTTATTAAACAACAGAAGACTTGGCCACAAGGCTAATCAGTGCCAAAGCAATAGTCTTAATTTCAGAGTTTAGAAGTATAACCCTAGTAGCTGTATAGATAAAAGCAAATCTGGGAAGAACTTCAATTGACCTAAAACTCAGTGCTCTGAGTGTGTATGCCCCTTCTTTCTCTGGAAGAAAAAGGAATTGATGTTATGAAGCTGCACTGGTTACAATGGGCTTTATTGCTTCTTCCATGACTGCCCTTGCTGGGCAGGAGGCCTGATGTGGGGCAAAGTGCTCTGTGTTCATCCTATAACAGTAGGGCTGGCAGGGCAAGAGGCTGCTGCTGCATCTTCAAAGCTAAAGCATGCTTGTGCTGCCTGCTTGCCTTGCCCTGACATTGCAGGGTGCCTGAGGCTCCAGCACCAGTTATTTGAGCTACAGGCTTTTGTGCTGGGATGATCACCACCCAAGAAATGGAACTTGTGTTGCAGCCAGATTTAATAATGCAGTGAGGGATTGCTGTGGATAACTTGCTGACAACCAGCATCGTTGCTCAATGGGAAGAAGTCCGAAACCATTTTAAAAACAAAGTCAAAGCAAACAAGCACTTTTTGTCCTTGTGCAGTAGGCACCAGCTCTGATGGGTTGGCACTTCCAAACCTGGCACTGGGGGCCAAAACTGAGGTGCCGTGCCCTGTCCTCTGCTCTGTAGCTCTGCTCCCCAGGCATCTGGCAGAAGGGAGCAGGCACCCATGCCTCCTGTGCTGTGTTTGTCAAGCTCATTTGATCAAATTGCCGGTAAAGATGGGATCAGAACGAAACGCCCAATTGCGGCCTGAAACCACAGAGGCAGAGGCTCAGGTTTCCTTCTGCTGACCGCTGCAAGCTGGCTGATAATGTCTGCGCAGCTCAGCATCAGTCAGAGCCCAACCTTCAATACATGGAGGGCTTTCAGGAATTGCTGAAACTGCATGGCTCGAGGCTGTATCAGCGAGTATCCCGAATCCGTTATCTGCATTATTCCAAAGGGTGTTTGTAAATTGATGCACGTATGGCAAGAATGTGTCCAGATAGCTCAGTTTGTTTGTACTGTTGGTGGAGAGGCTGCTGTTGTTAGCCACATAAATCTATCTGATGGCGCGGCTTCCTGAAATGCTGGCGTTGGTCATATGGCTTCAGAATAACTCTTTGGAATTCAACAGGCGGGATAACATTTTATGTAAATAAACAGTCCAGAGTTATAGATAAAATCAGAATTTAATTAAAAAAAAACAGAAGCTGTTTTCTTTACTGAACACTGAGCCATACTTTAATGCGGGCAATTATTTAGAATTTATTTGTATAATAGCCAGAGCTTTGGAGACTTAGCATATTTGCTGTCTTGGTTTGGTGCATCTGCTGTAAAAATAAATAACAGCGAGTAAGCTGAGTGTCTTTGGATAAGTATCTTCCTACCCAGAGAAGAAACAGGATTTTTTTAGTCTAAGATTGAGGTATATATTGCATTTATGTGGTGCCTTGCAGCTACAGCACCTCTATAAGAAATCAATCAGACACAAGATACAGCACCCAGGCTGTGGCTGTCCTTGAACCACAAATCATAACGGTCCACGTTCAGAGAAAGAACATGCACCCTCTGGATGTGTTCTCCCTTCTGGTTATCTGGGACAGGAGAGGGAGCAGTGTGGTGTCTGTGGGTGACAGCTGGATAAGATTGTTGAAGAACCTGGATGGAGCCACTGGACAGTTCAGCAGAAGACTACAGAGATGACAAGAGGGCTAGAGCACCTCTCCTGTGACAAGAGGCCAAGGAAGCCTGGGGGAGCTCAGCCTGGAGCGAAGGTTCAGGGGGGATCTTACCCATGCTTAGAAGTACCTGAAGAAAGGGTGCAAAGGCTACAGAGCCAGACTCTGTTCAGCAGTTCCCAGTGCCAGGACAAGAGGCCATGGGCACAAACTGCAGCCCAGGAGGCTCCCTATGAAAACGAGGAGCAGTGCTGTGCTGTGTAGGTGCCAGAGCACTGGCACAGGCTCCCTGCAGCTCTCCAGAAGCCACCTGGCCGTGGGCCTGGGCATCCTACTTTGGGTGGTGCTGCTGGAGCAGGCGGCCTTCTCACCTCAACAGTTCTGTGATTTTGTGACCAGAAGCATTTTCACTGTCTGCCTGTAGCCTTGTGATTGGTTAAAGGTAGTAAAAGCTGGTGTCAAGAGAGGAAATAATCGCAGCCAAGGGATGCTCAACTGGGCTGCACCACATCCTTCTTTGTGCTCGCATCGCTGTCTTGTGGTTGTGCAGTACACCAGGCTGGGAAATTGACTGTGGTTGAAATAAAGTTGTTGCAGTTGCTGCTGTCAGAAGGGACCAATTGTGGGTACCAGCAGAGCTCTGCTGCTTTTGCAGGAATCATGCCATGGCCTTAGGTCCAGGCTTCTGGAGTAATGGGATTGTATCAGAATCCAAGTTTTCCCAAATTAAAGGGATCTATTTGTAGGTCTGCTGGTTCCAAGTAAAGGGTCAACAGAATGTAGAGAACATTGTTTGCTTTTAACTCAGAAAGCATTTTTGACTCTGAAAACCTGTCCTAGTAATACTTGGCTTTAAACCCAGAAGAATTTGCAACAACCGCCCCTCGGACTGATTGCAGTTTTTCAGATCCAAAATGCTCACTGTCTAGGCTCTGAATATCCTTCATCTGTGAAATGCTCCAGGCTAGACAGAAATAGCTCAGGACTAATGAGCCTGGTTCAATTGCAGGCCAGAAACTTGCTGATGCCAG